AAAAAAAAAAAAAAAAAAGAAAAAAAAACACTGCATTTTTTTTAACCACTATACACTTGTAGTTTTAAAAAATGCCAGTTTAGTTTAAAGAATATTCTTGATTTTTTTTTTGTTTTTTTTTTGTGGTACCGGGCATCGAACTCCGGTCCTTGCACTTGGGAGGCAGGCCACCGAACCGCTGACCTAAATCCCCAGCCCAAGAATATTCTTGATAAAGCAGTAAATGTTATTACTATTCCATCCTTTTAGTAATTTAAAAAATAATTTTAGTGGTAAGATAGGAAATGTGTGTAAAGCGTTTATATTGCTAAATTACCAGTTTTTTCTAATAAAAAAGATGAATGTGAGTTAAACTGGTTGCTTTGTTTTTTCTTTTCTTTTTTTCCTTTTGGTACTGGGGTTTGAACTTGGGCCCGTGCACCTGCAAGGCAGGAGGCAGAGCCACTGAGCCAAATTCCCGGCCCATGGCTGCTTTGTTTTTGAAACACCATTTTTCCTTGAAATAATATTCACTTTTGGGTGTTTAATATTCTCTTCAAAATTAATTTATTAATAAATTAATAAAAGTTTTTTACAAGAAAAGTGATAACATTTTTTTGCTTAAATGTGATAAAATTCTAACTTTCAAGTGAAAATTTAAAATTTTAGAGATTTGAGGAATTTGGAAATTCTGAAACTGTGACATAGACAACTAAAAAGATTTCTGATGAAATTGATGGTGATATTTTTAAATGTGATTTTTAAAATATTTGTGAGATCTGTGTAACTTGTTGAATGGATATTTCTGAATAATTATTGCATGCTGTTATAAAACATTGCATAAATGAAAGACCCATTCAAAACACATGATATATCAATAAATCTTATAGAACACAAAAAATTTATTATAATTGACCTTTAAGAAATTACCACTTTTAGGCGGACATGGTATCACAAGCCCATAATCTCAGTACTGTGGAAAGTTCATGCCTACCCCAACAATTCAGCCATTTTATGAAAACTTGTCCTGAAATAAAAAAGGAATTGAGGATATAGTTTAATTGGAAAGACCCTGGCTTCCATCCCTAGTACTGTGTGCTCACATGCACACACACGTAAATTACTGCTTTTTGAGTTTTAATGTATTAAGAGAGATCTGTGAAAAAGCTACTTCCCTTTGGAATAACGTATCTGGATGAGGCTGCATTTTCTTCATATACTTTAACCAGAACAACATATTGTAAGAGATTGTGTGCAGAATCTGCACAATTGTGTCATTGTTTCAGTAAAATGAATTCCTAGAAATATAAAAACTGTCAAATGACATTTTTGTTTTTAGGTATTAGCAAATTGCCTTTAATGTAGCTGCACTAAATTTGCAGATAGTAGGTAAAGGTTCCCTTTTTTCATCATAATTAGCGGTGCCAACCTTGTCAACTAAAATTTTGTTATATTTTGCATTTTTTAAAAAACTAAGCAAAATTAGTTATCTTTCTATGACTACTAGTTATCCATCTTCCTTATTTTGTAAATTCTTTATATATTTGTATTTTTTGATTGTCTTTTTGATTCTTTTAATTTTGTAAGATTTTTAAATGTCAGTTATGTAATTTATTTTTCAGTGTTGCCGTATTTATTCCATCTTTTCCATTATGGTTTTATGGCTTTGAGTTTTATGTGATATGTGGATTTTATGTGGCCTCATCTACTTCAAATTTAAAAATACTTGTCTGTATTTTCTTCTAATTGACTGGTACTTTTAACCAGAAACCCACCCTAGACACATAGACAGCTCAGTTTTAGTTCTAAGTAGTATCTATAATTGCATGCAGTGAAAACTTGATTAATTTTAGAGGGAAGAACCTTAAAGCGAATGAATCAATTATATGATTTATTACTGCCTCTACCTCCTAATATTGACATTGTCTTTTGTCTACTTTTTTTTTTAGTTGAGGAAACGTGTGAAGCTTGAAGGAAAAGAACTTGAGGAATACTTGGAAAAAGAGAAATTAAAGAAAGAAGCTGCTAAAAAACTTGAGCAATCAAAAGAGTGAGTTACTTTCATATAGTTGTTTACAAATGTAATTTGAAAAAAACATATTTTATTTTATTTGCAGTACTGGGTATTGAACTCAGGGCCTTCATACTGATCACCATCCCCAGCCCTTTTTAAAAACCTTTTTGAGAACATTTCACTGTCAGTAATTTGCCCGGGCGGGGCTCAAACTTGTGATCTGCCTACCTTGGCCTCCCAGAATGCTGGATTAAGCACGTGCCACCACGCTAGCTCAAAAGAATGTATTGCTAAGACTTAAGTGTTCAGTTGAAAATATATAAATTTTCTTAGAACTTCATTGCCTTTGTTACATCTTTCACATGGCTAAACTACCAATTCCTTTCAGTGCTGATATTAATCTGCATTTATCAATTAGTAATTAATGCTAATGTTTTATAAAATATTGAATATTGTTTTATCAGTGGAATCAATATTCAGTTAGTAACATTGAAAGGATTCAATAATTATTTTATAAATATTTGTTTTAAAATGTCTTTGGGACTTTGCGATCTGGATTTATTCCACAATCCTCCCAGGGCGGATATAGATTCCAGTGATGAGAGTGATGTTGAAGAAGATATTGACCAGCCATCAGCTCATAAGACAAAGCATGACCTGATGATGAAAGGCGAAGGTAGTCGTAAAGGAAGTTTCTTCAAACAGGCAAAAAAGTCTTACCCTATGTTTCCTGCCCCAGAAGAAAGAATTAAATGGGATGAGTATGGAGAAATTATCAAGTATGTGAACAAAAAAAGACTTTTCTTTCTTACACATTGGAGGTATCAGTCATGTTATTTCAGCTCAGTAAATTGGATCTTTCTGATCAGCATGTGCTTCATTAGAGTCTGAATACCTTGCCTTGGAAGATGTAGGCAACTTATAGTTTAAGACAAAAGTAGAAATGTTGAGAAACACGTAGGAAATTGATATTAAGGGAAATTAATTATTACTTAGTTTAAATGGTTTAAAAAGACTTTCTTTTCCCCATGTAAGAGAGGTAAGAAACATGTCTTGGAGAAAGGCATAAAATAAAAGGAAATTTTGGTGGTGATTGTATTTAGTTTAGAAAATGGGTTATGATTCAAACATTATACACAGTTATAAGAATATGAGGTAGCATGAGTAGAAACAGAAAATCTGTAAAATCTATATCCATTACTAGAAAAACAGCAGAAATCTGCTAACTTGCAAATTTGAAAACACCTTTTAGGGTCCCCATTACTTTCCTGGTGTCAGATGCCTTAGCTGATAATCTTTCATGATGTGGTTTCTTCCTTTCTATTGCTTTCTTTATATTTCTTTATTTCTTTGTATTTTGTGGTGCATTTTGAGATAGAGTCTTGTTATGTTGCCCTGGCTGATCTGGAACTCCTAGACTCAAGTGATTCTCCTGCCTTAGCCCTTTCAAGTAGCTGGGACTACATACACATGCTACTGTATCTGGCTTTGTTTTTCTGTATCTTTTGTACTTTTCTTTGTATTCCTATAATGCTGTTTGAGCATACATGTGGGCTCGGGTTATTCCTGGGTTTAATTAGGAAAATTCCATTGTCTACTTGGTTCTGTAAAACAATAGAAAACATAGCAACTTAAAACACTAGTGCTTGGCTTTGTTTCTCTGTGTTGCATGTACTTTCTTTGTATTTCTATAATGCTGTCATTAGCATGTAGTGTTAAAGTCATACTTAGGTTTAGTGAGGAAAATTCCCTTGTTTTCCTGGCCCTCTGAAACAACAGAAAACAACTTAAAAAGAAAATGATGAATTTGCTTGCAGTCCCACTTGACCATTGGCCAGTCTACTTGAAAGATGGACAGCACTCCTTACCTTTAGTTTCTTTGTCTGACAATGGGGATAAGAATTAAATGAAGTTTTTCTTCTTTTTATCAGGGCAAGGAGTGGTACTAGCTTTCAAACCCAGGACCTTGTGCATGTTAGGCAGGTGCTCTACCTCTGAGCTACACCTCCAGCCCTGAAGGTTGTATTCTTAGGGCACTTAGCATAGAACCTGACTTGAGTACAAAGCCCGTAAGTGGTTGCTACTGCTATTGCTCTTCTGTAAACTATAGTTAGAGATATTAGACTGCAGAAGGTAAAAATCTGCTGCAACAATGTGGGTGCTAGAGAATAGATGCCTGGAATCTCAAAAAGGAATACAGTGGATTTGGGATTAATATGTCGACACTTATAGGAGGTTAGAGAGAGAATGTTAAAAACAAGTTTTTTATTTTACTTTTCATTAGAACTCTGATATTGGAAGTAAAAATGGGAAGACGCGTCTTTGTAGTACACTGAAGTAAAGTTGAAGGTTTATGAGGGCACTAATACTTCGTCTCTCTCTTCTCAAAAATAGACAAATGGAAAATCATCTGCTTTCTTTGGACAAGAAATAAATAATAGGTCTAAAGGACATCTGAGAAGTTCTGAAATTTATAGCTCTTGGGATTTGGCAAAGGAAACCATAGAAATTGACAAAATAATTACTTGAGAAGAATGTAGTGCCCGATTGCAGCGGTGCTTGTTACAGCCACTGAGGTCTTCTAATGACCTTTTACTGGTTTCTCACAGAAGGCCTTTCCCTAGTCTACACAGTGTGCATAAAGAACATTTGTGAGGCTGGGGATTTAGCTCAGTGGTTCTGGTGCCTACTTTGCAAGTGCAGGGACCCAAATTCAATCCGCGGTACCAAACAAACCAAAATAAAGACCATTTGTGAGTGGGCATGAAAGCATAATATATAAAGTCATCTGATAATTGGTATTATGAAATTTATGATCAAATGTATATTTCAGTCTTGAAATTTGTGAGCAATCTAGAAATTTATGCCACGCATTAGTTATACATTTTATATAATATTGGCTTGCTTCTTACTGCTTCTAATTAGAGACTTATTATTTAGACCGGAGGATTTTTTAGTGCCAGAACTTCAAGCTACTGAAGAAGAAAAAAGCAAATTAGAATCTGGTTTGACAAATGGAGATGAACCCATAGATCAGGATTTATCTGATGTTCCAACTAAGTGTATTTCTACAACAGAATCTATTGAAATAAAGTAAGTGTTTTTGCTTTTGTTGCATTTGTGAAATAGATTATAAGATAAAATTTTGCATTATTTCATTGAAATTTCTCAATGTCCTCTGGTAAATTTATGCTTTTGAAATTAATTCCTTTTTCCAGGAAAAGACATGTGAAGTATGGTGCTATTTTCTCTTCATTAGTGACATTTGAATGTCCATAACATAGTGTTAGTGGTGGGAGAGGGGGGAGATAGATATTAAATTTTTCTGGCCTTCTCAGTAAGTTTTTTTTTTTTTTGTACAGGTAAAAGAATAATGCAGCTTAAAAGTTTTAATTTTTTCTAACTGCTTGTTTCATAAAGTATGCTGCTTGATTTAAACATCACTAATGCCTAGAAAATTTAATTGAAGACAATATTTTAATAACTTCTTTTTTTTTTTTTTTTGGTACTTTTGTATAGTACTCAGCATTTTCATTCTTTTTTTTTCTCCCCCACCCCCCTGTGCTTGCAAGGCAGGTGGCAGCACCACTGAGCTAAATCCCCAGCCCTAGCATTTTCATTTTCTTGCTGACTTTTCACTATTAATTGAGCTACTTCCTCAACAGATATTCTAAAGCATTTCTAGTTGAACTTTTTTTTTTTTTTTGGTGCTAGGGATTGAACTCAGGTCCTTGTGCTTGCAAGGCAGGCCACTGAACCGCTGAGCTAAATCCCCGGCCCTTCTTAATAACTTCTTAACAATCATCCTTTTCTTCCTTTCTACCTAGAAACATTTTTCCCCTTTCTACTTAGTATAATTTTGTGATTTTTTTTTTTGAGCCATGAAAGAGCAAATTGGTTTATTTGCCCAGTGATACATTCTATATATGCTCATGTATAACTAGTGTGTAAATAATTCATGTTGACAGTGTAACATATGTTTTTCTCAAGTCCTTATTTTATATATTATATACATTTCTTTCTTGATGATAAAAGCCATTTTTTTAAAAAAGCTCACTTTTTGAATTAACTTATCAGAAAAGTGAGCTTAAATAATCATGTCTACTTGCAGAGCCAGAGTTACTTACATAGACTATGAAGGACGCTCTGATGGAGATTCCATTAAAAAAATCATTAATCAGATGAAACCACGCCAGCTGATAATTGTCCACGGCCCACCAGAGGCCAGTCAAGATCTGGCAGAGTGCTGCCGTGCGTTTGGTGGGAAAGACATTAAAGTGTACATGCCGAAGCTGCATGAAACAGTCGATGCCACCAGTGAAACACACATCTACCAGGTAAGTAAGATGCCACGTGAGCCGTGTGGAAATGAGCACTCTGTTGTAGACTAGGAGACATTAGGGATGCAGGCGTGGGTTAGGTGGACGCAGTTCCCTGCCCTGGCAGATCAGAGCCTGTGGGGTTTATAATAAGCAAAGAGCATTTCCCTCCTGGTTATACCTCTTTTGTTTTGTTTTTTTGAGACAGGGTCTGGCTTTATAGTTCAGGCTGGCTTTGAACTCTTGGCAATCCTCCTGCTTCAGCGTCCCGAGTGCTGGGATCACAGGTGTGCACCACCACACCTGGCTACTCCTTGTCATACCTCTAAAAGGAACTGTAGGATGCCATAAGAGTATAAAGACAGAACACTGACCTAAATTTGGAGGTTTAGAAAATATTTCCTGGAGGAAGTGATAACTAAGCTGAATCCTGATGGGTGTTTAGATAAATTGTGAGGGCAGATAGAGTAGGAATGAGAGGAGCAAAGAATGTTCCAGGCAGAGGGAACAGTGTTTATAGAAGTAAAGAGGTGAAGGGAATGAGAAATGTTCAAGAATTTAGAGTTTAAAAAAGAAATTCACAGATGTCAAGGTTCTTCTCCTAATTGCAGCAGATGGAGATAGGTACAGAAAACAGAACTGGTAGAGGAGGGACGCACTCTTACCTGGCTGAGGGGGAGATAGTGACGGTCTAAGGGAGGAGTGATGTCTGTACTGGGAGAAAGGGTTTAGAACTCAATAGGCAGGAGAATTACTCTGGGTAGAGCAAGAGGAAGCAGCATCCCAAGACACGGGTGTGAGACAGCCGCTCCGTTCTCTGGAGGAGGCTGAGTGTTGAGGGTGCGACCACTGTGCACGGCCTGGCTGTACGTGACATCCAGCACCAGGGTGCTGTGCTCTGAGTCTCACCAGTGCTGCGCGCTGGAGGGAAATGCCTATGATTCTGGTGTGCAGCGAGGCCGACAGCCTCCACTTGGGGATGTAGACAAGGATCCTGGCAATTGTACAGGGCATCAGGAGGATCAGAGGAGAGCAAGATTTGCACGTTGGAATCATATTGTCAAAGTTAGAAAGTGACAGTGAAAGGTTCCGTGCAATTTGTTAATTTATATTCTGTGGGTTTTATTTCTCCCCTCCCTTTTGCACACCCAGGTGCGATTAAAAGACTCACTCGTCAGCTCCCTTCAGTTTTGTAAGGCAAAAGATGCTGAATTAGCGTGGATCGATGGCGTCTTAGACATGAGAGTTTCCAAAGTGGACACAGGAGTTATTTTAGAAGAAGGAGAGCTCAAGGATGACGGAGAAGACTCAGAAATGCAAGTGGATGCTCCTTCAGATTCCAGTGTGATAGCACAACAGAAAGCCATGAAAAGTCTGTTTGGAGATGATGAGAAAGAAACGGGTGAAGAAAGTGAGATCATCCCCACTTTGGAGCCCTTGCCACCTCACGAGGTAAGAAAGCCCGTGCCTTTTCAGACTCTTCCTTAATTTGTCTTCCTTCTAGTTTTCTTTTTATATTTGCGAACATTTAAAATATAGTTTATGTAGGCTGATTTTGGCATTCTTAAAAAAGATTACTGAGGTTGGACACAGTGCCCATGCCTGCAGTCCCAGTGCTTGAGAGGCTGAGGCAGGAGGATCATGAGTTTGAGGCCAGCCTGGGCAACTTATCTAGTTCAAAACCAGCCAGGACTACAGAATGAGACCCTGCGTGAACTACTCCTTCTCAAAAAAAGATTACCCAAGACATGTTCCTCTGTTTCTGTATGTGTATCCAATCTCTATGGCTAAAGAATAGCAATTTAGAGGAAACCTTTAGCAAATCTTTGAAGGTATAGAATGGTTTCATGGCTTGGATTTTCAGCATGGAATTTTTTTTTTTCTTTGAGATAAGGCCTTACTATGTATCCCAGGCTGGCCTTGAACTCTTAGCAATCCTCCTGCCTCAGCCTCCCAAGTGCTCAGATTACAGGCATGTGCCACCACATTTGGCTTTCATCATAAATTTTTAAATAGTAAATTTGACTGTGAGGACTGCCTGCCTGTTTCCAATCAAATTTGTACTTTTCTGAGAATGTCATACTCTTGCATTCCATTTTGTATGTTGTCGGTTAAGTTTAGATCACTTTTGGATTTGATACAGTTAGAATCTCTGCTTAAGTACAGCCATAATTCTAGCCTAGTATTTCTTTACATTTTTTCCAAGAGAGAACTATTTAATTAGCAAAGATTTCAGTACAGAATTAGAACCGTTAAGAGCCCTACATGCTTATTAAGTATAGTCTAGTGTAGCTATGAAGCAAAGACTTTCATTGGATTCCCTTCTAGTTCTGCTCTTGAAATAGACAGGAGGAACTAGAGAATCTTCTTTTCTCTCTCTCTGTGGAAGCTAGCACTCTTCAGAGCAGTTTCATAGTTGCAGTATTAGGCAAGGACCACTTGCCGTTCTGATTCTAAACCCATGGCATCTATTGTGTTCACTCTGAGGGAGGAGGGGAAATGGAAGTAAGACTAGGGAAGAATTATCCTCGGAAATGAGCAAAGAACTGGGATTTGGAAAATGAGGCACTCTAGCTGACCTTCTCCAGCAAGTGGGTGAAGAAGTGCATGTTACCACATGCCTCTCTTATTAGAAAGTATGACTAATAAAATTGTGAAACATCATGAAAATGTGAAGGGCTTTGTAATGAATGTTAAGTAATGAGGTAAAATTCAAAATAACAGTCGTGGAACATGATTTACAGTCTTGAAGTGATTTGTCAAAGGGCTTCGGGGAATAATAAAAAATATCTCAGCCATCATGCAGGACTTCCCTTTATTCAGTACAACTTTGTGGTATTTTATTCAAAGTTATTCTTTCCCCTTTGACTTTATCCAAGGTTCCTGGACATCAGTCAGTTTTTATGAATGAACCAAGACTATCCGACTTCAAGCAAGTTCTTTTACGGGAGGGGATTCAAGCTGAATTTGTAGGAGGTGTACTTGTTTGCAACAATCAAGTAGCTGTCCGTAGAGTAAGTTTGTTTTTAATAAGGGCTGACTTGAACATGTCCTTCGGATGTTTTGTCAATTTGAATTCTTTCTTGATTGGTAATTTCACAAAACTGAACATCAGTAATTTATGTCTATAATGATGACCTTGGAGGATTATATATGACTCTCAAATGATACATAATTTTATGGTACATTTTTATTGCTTGAATCCTCTGACATATGTCTATGTAAAATTTGTTACTTGACTATTATATTTGATAAATCAGCATTGTTTCCAACTAATTGTAGTCTATTTAATATATTTTGTTTATTATGTCTGCATATTAATGAATAGCAGATGTACTAACCTCTTTTTCTTAAACTTGGTTTCTAGACGGAAACTGGACGCATTGGATTAGAAGGCTGTCTTTGTCAAGATTTTTATAGGATAAGAGACCTTTTGTATGAACAGTATGCCATCGTATAAAGGACACGATGTCAAGAAGTATCTGCTTGACCTTTCTGAGAAAAAGGGTTTCTTACCTTATCCTAAGCTTTTGCTCCTTTATTTTGTAGCATACAAAAAGAATCTGCCAGAAAAACTGAACATGTATTAAATTTTTAAAAATGTAAAGAGGGCCAGGAATATAGCTCAGTGATATAGTGCTTGCCTAGCATGCACAAGGCCTGCCTGAGGTTTTAATCCCCAGCATCAGAGAAAAACAAAGGTAGAAAGAAGAAAAAATGAAAATGTAAATAGAGCCCATTTTGCTAGTACAGAATGAGTGAGCGCCTTGCCTTTTGGCTTTGAGAGTGGTGGTAGAAGTCCTAAGAAGTGCACAGGCTAGAGTTTCCTTTACAGACCCTCACCTTAGAAGGGCTTTTTACTTGAATAAAACAATGCAGCTTAACAAACCAGTTTATGGCCTTAGAGAACATGTTTGCATGTCGTCTTGCAAACAGCTTCTTGTATTTTCTGGAATGAAAGAAGTATTTGGCAAAAGATGTGCTACAACAAAACTAAACGGATGTAATAGTTTTTTGAAGCTTAGGTATTTTTTAAAAAGTGTATGTGCTATTATTCTTCATTTGAATTCTGTTATGTGTTTTTACATGGCATGAATCTGTTCCAAACCTATAGGTCCCAGTGATTCACTCTAATGTCTCATTTCTTGTCTTAAAACTGTTTTGTTGTTCAATTTCAGTTAATGCACCATCATTTAAATATGTCATTCAAAGGAACTGCTTGATGTGTTAGTCTTAAGGGTTCTGCTTACATCTTAGACACAACTCTCAGCTGGATTACTGTATTTGGATCTGTTTAGCGCTGTACTTTTTATTGTTTTGTTTTTTTTGGTACCGGGGATCGAACTCAGGCCCTTGTGCTTGCAAGGCAAGTGGCAGAAGCACTGAGCTAAATCCCCAGCCAGTGCTGTACTTTTAAGAAAAATGTTCAGGGCCAGGGACTTAGCTCAGTGGTACCGCCGCCTGCCTCGCCAAGTGCAAGGTCCAGAGTTCGATCTCTGGTAACCCCCCAAAGAAGTCACACTTTACATTTTTTTTATAAAGTAGCAGTGTAATTTAATTAAAATATGTAAATGTTTTCCTCTCTTAGGCTTGCTCTCTTCTAAGGTTACTGCAGCAGTGATTGGATTTTATTACTACAAAAGTAGTGTTGAAATTGGCCAGGCACAGTGACACATGCCTGTGATCTCAGCTAGTTGGGAAGCTGAGCAGGAGGGTCACAAGTTTGAGACCAGTCTTGAGTAACTAAGCAAGACATTCTCTCAAAGAGGACTGGAAATGTAACTCCGTGGTAGAGTTTGCCTAGTATGTGGGAGACCTTGGGAGGCTGTGGGTCCAAACCACAGTACCACTAAAAAAACAAAACAAAAAACCAAATTAGATAAGGTCATCTTTGCTGTCCTGATACAGTATAGACCATTTGTATTCAAGAGTAAAAGCTGAGTATATGCAATATTTGTTGGATTTAAGCCATGAAAACCATGGTGCCCTATTGTAATTTGTTGATACTTCCTTTTTAGAAAGTAACTTAATCATGGCACACCATAATGCTTATTCTCTTTACACTTTGCATTTTTAAGAGCATCAGTCTTTGTTAACTTTTTTTTTGTGGGGGGTACTGGGGGTTTAACTCAAGTCCCTCTGCTTGCAAGGCAGGTGGCAAAACCAGTGAGCTAAATCCTTGGCCCTGCCTTTGTTAACTTTTGTGGAACTATGTATATTTCAACCCAGTGACATCAGAATAGAATTAATACTTCGTTCTCTGTCAGATGCTTACAAAACTTGTGTTGTAGATTATAATACTAATACAAAGTTTACAGCCTTCTGATACTGACAAACCAGTGTTTCAGAAGATGAATATAAAAGTATATTTTCTTTTTAGCACCTCACAAATTCTTCTCTCAGATGTTTGGTGCTGTATAATTCTATGTATATTCCAGGGGAAATAAAGTCTGCATTTGTTCATGGTTTAAAGTATCTGATTATACATATTATATCATAATACCAACGTTGAAATACTTACATTGCTACCCTTTCTGTTGAACTATGAGCAATAATTAAACTACAGCACAGATCTGAGTGTGGTAGCACACGCCGGTAAGTCAAGCAAACTTGGGAGGCTGAGTCAGGAGAATGGAATTCAAAGATAGCCTGGGCAGCACAGCAAGACCCCATCTTATATACATACATGCATACATGCATATGTACATAGTGCTTAAAGATTGCCATGTTAAATGTCATTGCAGGATCAATACCTTCACTTATTTCTAGAGAGAGGGCAGTGTTACTGAAATTTCTAAAATGAAGGCCTTTGTTTTGGCATTTTACTTTAAAAAAATAAATTTTACTAACAACTGAGGTAAAACAAACTCAGAGAAACTTTCAGGTCTTTATTGTTTCAATGCAAGAATAAATAGATGTGAATTGTTAATGGATATCTGCAAATAATTTTGTTAAAAAGAAATTGTAGTATCTGTGAATTTTTAAGTCAGATATTTTGCCATTATTTGTATGCTTTCACCACCCAGTAGGCAACCTGTAACAGAAATGAGGGAATCAATTTTCTGAGGGCCATTTGCCTTTTTAAAAATTAAGTTGTAATTTACATGCCATAAAATATTCATTTTTTAAAGATGTATAGTTCATTTGGCATATTTACAGAGTTGTGCAACCATTATTCTACTAATTCCAGAACATTTTCATCATTCCAAAAAGAAACCCCATACTCATTAGTACTTATTCCCCATTTTCCCTTCTCCCTGACCCCTGCTAATCAGTAAACTTTCTGTTTCTGTGGATTTTCTATAAACATAGAATCAAGCAACAGTTGAAATTTTGTGTCTGACTTCTTTCACTTAACATAATGCTGTTTTTAAGGTTCGTTAGTATATTAGCATTTTTCAGTCCTTTTTTTTGTGGTGGAGCTATATGCCATCGTATGGATATGCTGTACCACATTTTGTTTTTTTCATCAGTTGGTAGACATTGGGTTGTTTCTATTTTTGGGCTGTTTGAATAATGCTTTGAACAGTCATGCATGAGGATCCCCCCTTTCTGAATATATATTTTCAGTTTTCTTAAGTATATACCTAACAATTGAATTGCTAGCTCATATGGTAATTAGAAGCTGCCAGATTGTTTTCCAGAGTGATTATACTTTCTCACGTGCCCACCAGTATGTATGAAAGTTCCATTTTCTCCACATTGTTTCTAACGTTTGTTAGTCTCTACCTTATATTTTGATTTTAGCCATCCTAGTGCGTGTGAAGAGATACCTTGTTGAGCTTTTACTTTGCATTTCTCTAATGAATAAAGGCAAGCATTTTTTTATGTACTTATTAGCTGTCTTTTTTGAAGTAATGTCTGTTCAAATCCTTTTTTCTTTTCTTTTCTTTTTTCTTTGAGACAGGGTCTCACTATGTACTTGGGACTAATCTGAAACTCACTATGTAGCCCAGGCTAGTCTCAACTCACAACAATCCTCCTGCCTCAGCCTCCTGAGTGCTGGGATTACAGGCATGTGCCACCATGGCCAGCTTCCATTTTTAAATTTTAATGATTGAGTTGCAATGTTGTTTTACATGTGTTCCCCCCCCCCCGTATGTGTGTGTATGTATATATATATTTCTGTATATGTAAATATTTTATGTCCGGCTGGTCTTGACCTTAGATCCTCTTGCCTCAGCCTTGTGCTCCTGAATAACTAGGAATACAGGTGCGTACCATCATGCCCAGCCTTGAATTAATTTTTATTGATGGTAGGAGGGAGATTATTTCCCTATTGAATTATTTTGCCTCCCTGGGTACAAATCAGTTGTTTCGTTGATCTCTGAATATCTGTCTTTATGCCAGTACCATAGTGTCTTGATTACTTTGTAGGACGTTTTTAAATCGGGAAGTAGGAATTTTTCAGCTTTGTAACAATTTTCAAGATTGTTTCATTTGTGTTGGGTCCCTGGGTTTCCATGTGAGTTTTAGAAACAACTGATAAATACAAAAAGGTTCACTCAATTCTAATAGAGGGGAAAAAAGCAATTGGAATTTACAGCTTAGAAACTTAGAGAATGCAGTGGCTGAGCGTGACTGAAGAGCTCGTGCAGCTTAGCCTACTTATTTTCGTTTTGAATGGAGAGGCTCTGCAATGGGAAGGAGTTGCTTGAGATGCACCTACCTGGTTAAAGGCTGAGTTGGGATTGGAACCTTCCAGCCATGCAGTCCCTTCTACACTGTTGTGTTCCTTCAGTTCCTGATTTACATTCACTTTGCTGAGCAATAACATGTTCAGTTCATTTATTGGAAGAAGGGCAGCTGTTAGGGCAACAGCATGCTAAGAAAGATTGATTGCAATTCTATGTCATCGCCAGTAAAGGTGCACTTTCCTTTGGTTGTAAGCTTCTAATCACAAGGTCATTGTTCTGTAAAATATTGATGAACTGATTGTCACTTAAGTCGGGATGGTTTAGAATAGATACATGAAGATACAGTGGGAACTAAAACAGGAACATGCAGATCTGCCTACCTGCACTGGTTCCAAGGAAAGATTTAGGAGGTTTTTTTCCTCCTTTTTTATTTTTCTGTCACTTTAACCGTTCCAGGTGTGTTTATAGGAAAATGCTATACTAAATTTAAAAATCAAGGCTTGGCTGGAAGTGAAGGCATCTACTGTCGCCTCACCATCTCCCCGTCATTATCTCCACAACTTCCCCAATGCACAGCTTCATTTTTTGATGCTTTTCCTCCTCAGGCGCCTCTCATTTTAAACCTGGAAATCAAAATGATTTCAAAGGGCCTAATAGAAGTTTGGAGAGTTTTACATCTCTCTTCATTTTATTTGAAGAGAACCAGAAGTTTATGTGCTTTGTATGTGAAATTGTTAATGGATTCCATGGATCCTACCCACGCTGCCCCCCACACCATGCTAGGAGTGAACACAGGACCTCATGCATGTCAGGCCTGTGCTCTTCCAGTTAGGTTACCTCCCCAGCCCCCTATTCCAACTTCTAACACTGAGTGATAATCCCAAGCAGAGAATATGCAAAAGATTCATAAGCACTTGCCCACTTTCTGAAGTTAGTTGGTGTTAATGTTTAGCATCCGGTTTGTAGTATTTCTTTTTTCCTGATACAATTAATATTCTTTATAAAAAGATA